ATATATAATTAGAAAGAAATATAGTTTGATAATTAGATAGGTAGATAGATAATATACATTTGGATGGATAGATGAACATATATAAATATATATGAATATATATATATATATATATACATGTATGTTTATGTATATATAGGTATATATATGCATATATATATATATATAAATGTGTGTGTATACATATACATATACATACACATATATATGTACATATATATTTATTCATTTATATATACTTATCTATCCATCTGCCTATCTATATTTTTCTGATTGTCTATATCAATACCTATATTTACATCTATCTAGATACATAGATGTATATATATACATAATTATATACATAAATATAAACACATAGATACTTGCATATGTATGTATATATGTATATATACATATATATCCATATATATACACACATATATACATATATACAGAAGCAAGATTATTCTGCTCTTTCTCTCTCTATTTAAATACATTTATACATCCAAAGATACATATAGAGAGCGGGGAAATATTATTCCCATGCATCTGTTTTCTCTCTCTCTCTCTCTCTCTCTTTACTCTGTCTCTCTCTCTCTCTCTCTCGAGTAGCTGACTTGGCATGTACCCAAACTTTTCTTCTTTTTTTTTCAGTATAGTACTTGGGGCTCCCATATTAGCTAAAATAAATATCAATATACAAAAGTGTTTCTATGTGTGTGTGTAGGGGGGAGCTGTCTGCATATGTGTGTGTGTTTCTGCTTGTTTGTGTGTGTGTTTCTTTATGTGTCTTTGTGTCTGTGTGATATGTGTGCTCGTGAGTGTGAAGATTTATCTATATACATATTTGTTTATAATATAAATTCTCGATGTTGGAATCTTTCTTTCTTACTTTGAATACAAATTTATTTATTCAATTTAATTTTACTAAGTAGATTTTATGAAGATCTAATAGGTATCAGCTACATGAATTTTCTTTTTTCCCTCTTTTTCATTTATCATGAATTTTGATCATGTAAAAAAGAAAAAATAATGCAATCTATATGGCGAAAGAAAATAGTTCTACAGAATTCCATTTTTCTAGAGATAAAGAAACAAATATAATTTTATTTATGTATATATATTTTAGTAAAAGTCATAAACAATCATAATAAAATATCAACTGGCCAAAATGGCATTCAGGTAGGTAGCAAAGTGAAACTGTTCCTTCCCTAATTCTTAAGGGCCAGAATATAAAGTGGATGGAGTACCAGCACTGCTTCCACTTCCTCCAAATCCTCCACTACTTCCTGCTCCACTTCCGCCAAAGCCTCCGCTTCCTCCACTTACGCCACCGAAACCTCCACTTACTCCTCCTGCACCACCGAATCCTCCACTTCCACCTGCACTACCACCAAACCCTCCATCTCCTCCAAAACCACCTGCTCCACTACCGCCAAATCCTCCATCGCCTCCAAAGCCACCTGATCCACTGCCGCCAAATCCTCCATCGCCTCCAAAGCCACCTGATCCACTACCGCCAAATCCTCCATCGCCTCCAAAGCCACCTGCTCCTCCGGCGCCTCCGATCACTTGACCACCAGCACTAGCGGCAGCATTAAGAGCAGTCTCAAGATCCACGCCAATAGGAAGAGTTGGGTTCTCTCCCTCTTCGTAGTTGACAAAGTAAACCTCGGGGTTGGTAGCTGGAGGAGCAGTAACCTCAATTACTCGCTGGCCTCCTGCTCCATCGTTCTTGTTCAGGACATACACGATGTTCTCTTGCCTTGGTGGAGGAACGATGATGGGTTCAGGACCTGCTCCTCCTTCAGGAAGACGCACGAACAAAATGTTATGATCAACTCTTGGTGGTGGGACACTTGGTGGTGGACCGCTTGGTTGCTGAGGTTGTTCAGGAGCATCATACACAAACACATTTCTCGTGATTACAGGAACAACGCAAGATCCATCTACATGCAGGATCTCTCCATCACGACACCCACCAGCATGACCTCCAGATCCACCACCAAATCCACCACCGCTTCCACCGGAGAAACCTCCACCAGACACTCCACCGCCACTTGAGAATCCTCCACCACTTGAAAATCCTCCACCAGAGATTCCTCCGCTGCTTGAAAATCCTCCACCAGAGATTCCACCGCCACTGGAGAATCCTCCACCGAAGCCTCCGCCGCCACTAGAGAAGCCACTTCCAGATGAGTGACCTCCACCATGGGAGAATCCACCTCCCGATGGCGAGGCCAAATTGTAGCCTTGAGGTGCCGCGTAAGCTGCGACCACGAGTGCCGAGACAACCTTTAGAAAGTACAAGAGGAATGAATGCATTTTCTCAGAATAGGGTGCTTAATATGAAGTAACTATAGTTTGCTATAACTTCTCATTTCAGAATACGGAGTAGGAAGTACCACTCACCAAGAGCTTCATGGTGGAAGATGCTGGCTCGTCCAGTCAAGCTCCGCCTTATATACTTCCATTCTCTCTCTTTCCTCTCGCACCTCCAGTGACCTCAATTTCTTTTCGTACTCACAGTTCCTCGCTTCTTTACCTTTATCCTATTGTGCTTACAGAATGCTATGGATAGATGAAGAAAGTACATTCCTAAGTTTGATTTACTCTCATAATACTCTATTAATATAGATCTGTTTTCTTATATTCATATATACATGCATACATTCATACATAACATACTTGTAGAAATATTTATTTTTGAATATACATATATACATACACACGTGTGTGTGTGTGTGTGCATTTCTGTGCGTCCCCGTGTTTTTAAAAAGTCATGAAAAAGTATAGAGCAATAAGCAAACAACAGTATGTTTATTATCTTTAGAATTATAAGAATTATAGCTATATACCATTAGCAATATTAATAATGACCATAGGAACACTATAGTTATTTGCATTCTCTGAATTAATGCTATTGATATTATAACTACGATTGTGACTACTAGTACTGTCTTTAAGTTATGATATTATTGCCATATATAACTTTAAAGGTCAGTAATTCTCACAGTAAGATCATTACTATCAATAATTTTACTTTTATTGAAATCAGCTATTGTTACTGCTACAATCATTGCATTGTTACTACTGAGGTTGCTGTTATTCCTATAGTAATAGAAATTAGTTTGGTCAAAATAAGGATGATATGATAATAATAATGATAATAGGATAGCAATAATTATAAGTATAATAATAGTAAAGTTAATAATGATAACTACAGAAAAAATAAAAATAAGAGTATTAATAATAGGAATATTGATAATGATGAAATTAATAATAGTAATAACAATATTCAAAGAGTAATAATAACAATGATAATAACGGTAATATGATAACACTAGTAATAATAATAATAATAATGACTGATGAAGTTGCTTTGGCTTTACGTCACGAACTCCCTCGCAAGAGTTAGGACGGTGTCTTCTTTCGAAAGACTTTGTTTTTGGCTGGTTGCGGCCGTTATTCCAAATGGATACCTTTCCTTTTCATCCTAGACCATTGGTGCCAGATTCGGACGCGCGCGAGCAGGGTGACAGACCCTCATGGATAACCAGCTGCGCACGTTACCGCTATACCATGGCGGTCGTAACAACAATAATGATAATAATAATAACAGCAATTATTGCAAGGAATATTATTAACGTGATATAGACCATAATAGAGTAAAATAACAATATAAAAAAATATATAAAAATACCAATGAAAATTACAATAATGAATATGATTATGAGATAGTGATCCTTATATAAAACCGTAATTATTCCAAGCACGCCTCCGTGCAGATTCTAAAAATTAAGATCTTTTAAACTATATTTTGAATAAATTGACAATTTTAAGAAAACTTGTATATATACACCTATATATTTGTTTATTTATATTTATTCATCCATGTATACATATATAATTAGACAGAAGAATAGTTTGATAAGTAGATAGCTATATAGATAAATATACAATTAGATGGATAGATGAAAAAAAATATATATATATATATATATATATATATATATATATATGAATATATACATATATTTATATGTAAATATGTATATGTATATATATATATATATATATATATATATATATATATATGCATATGTATATAAATGTGTGTATACATATATGTATATGTACATATATATATATATATATATATATATATATATATATACATATGTGTGTATATATATATATTTATTCATTTATATATACATATCTATCCCTCTGTCTATCTATCTTTCTATAATTGTCTATATCTATACCAATATTTACATCTAAATATATATATATACGTATATATATATACATATACACATATATACATGCATATGTATGTATATATGTATATGTACATATATATGCAGATGCAAGATTACCCTTCTCTCTTTACATATATAAATACATGTATATATATATATATATATATATATATATATATATATATATATGCAAATATACACATAGAGGGAGAGGAAATCTTATTGTTCCCTTGCATGACTTTTTTTTTTCTTCTTTTTTTTTCTTCTTCGAGCAGTTGACTTAGCATGTACCCAAACAAGTTTTTTTAGTATAGTACTTGGGGCTCCCATATTAGCTAAAATATACATCAGTAAATAAAAGTGTTTCTGTGGGGTGGGGGTCTGTGTATGTGTGCGTGTGTTTGCTTGTTTGTGTGTGTCTGTGTTTGTTTATGTGTATTTGTTTGTTTGTGTCTGTGTGATATGTGTGCTCGTGAGTTGAGGATATATCTATATACATATTTTCGTTTATAATATATAATCCCGATGTCAGACTTTTTCTTTCTTTTTTTGAATGTGAATTTATTTAGTTACTTTCATTTTACTAAGTACATTTTATGAAGATTTAATGAATATCAACCGCATGAATTTTCTTTTTCTTTTGTCGTGAATTTTGCTCATGTAAAAAAAAAATAATAAATAATGTAATCAACATGGCAAAAGAAAATAGTCCTACAGCATTCCATTTTTCCGGAGGTAAAGAAACAAACATAA